GCCAATTAGCCACACTCAGCTGGCCAATAGCCACATGTGGTTAGTGGCAAGTGTGTTGGATCAAGCCCTGGATCTAGCCCATCCCTGACAGGTGTCTGTCTAAGCTGCTCTTAAATATCTCCAGTGATGGAGACTCCCCAGCCTCCCCAGGCAATGTATTCCAGTGTTTCACCATCCTGACAGGTAGGAAGTTTTCCCTAATGTCCAGCCTAAATCTGCAGTTTAAGCCCATTGCTTCTTGTCCTATCTTCAGAGGCCCAATTTTTCTCCCTCCTCCTTGTAACATCCATCTAGAACATAAGAACATAAGAACGGCCGTACTGGGTCAGACCAAAGGTCCATCTAGCCCAGTATCCTGTCTGCCGACAGTGGCCAGCACCAGGTGCCCCAGAGAGGGTGAACCGAAGACAATGATCAAGCGATTTGTCTCCTGCCATCTCTCTCCAGCCTCTGACAGACAGAGGCCAAGGACACCAGTTTATCCCCTGGCTAATAGCCTTTTATGGACCTAACCTCCATGAAATTATCTAGCTTCTCTTTAAACTCTATTATAGTTCTAGCCTTCACAGCCTCCTCTGGCAAGGAGTTCCACAGGTTGACTACACGCTGTGTGAAGAAGAACTTTCTTTTATTAGTTTTAAACCTGCTACCCATTAATTTAATTTGGTGTCCTCTAGTTCTTCTATTTAGGGAACTAATAAATAACTTTTCTTTATCAGCCCTCTCCACACCACTCATGATTCTATCATATCCCCCCTCTGTCTCCTTTTTTCTAAACTGAAAAGTCCCAGTCACTTTAACCTCTCCTCATATGGGACCCGTTCCGAACCCCTAATCATTTTAGTTGCCCTTTTCTGAACCCTTTCCAAGGCCAAAATATCTTTTTTCAGGTGAGGAGACCACATCTGTACACAGTATTCAAGATCTAGGTACTTGACAAAGCACAGCAGTACAGAAACCAGGGCCTGGGCTCATCCGTCACCAGCACAGCTACAGTTTTGAAACAGGGAGCCAAAAACATGCTACATGACGTGTTCACTACCAACGTGGGGGCAGTGTTGGTGGCAGGAAGTCCTGGGGGACTCAGGAAAGTCAAAGAGGGTGGTAACGCGATGCAGCAGGGCCAAAGGGGACCAGTGTAGCTAGTAGGATTTAACCAGTGCCGGACCAAGCTATACTTGACCCTGGGCAGTGGGCGCGCGGCCTTGCCCCCGGGCACCAACCTATGGGGGGCGCCTGATTGAAGTGGTAAGGGGCACTGAGCGCCCGGGCGTGCGGCATATGCATGGCCCCGCCCCCGGGCATGTGGAGCCCCTTACCACTTTAATCAGGTGCCCCCTATAGGTTGGCGCTCCGGGCAGCTGCCCGGCTAGCCCGCCCCTTAATCTGGCCCTGGATTTAACTAGGTCTAAACAATAAGTCTTGCCAGATCAAAGCGCAATGGCTCGGAAAGGCCTTGTGAAGGTGAGCTGAGCTTCCCTTCACCCAGGCCAAAGCTGTCCTTACCCACAGGCAGATATGCAGCAGCATCGGGCACCCGAAAACGGGGGGCACCCCTGGGTCTTAATGTCCACCCACTGGCCTCTTCCTATCCTTGGTCTATGGCTCTGTTTCCTCCCGAGTGGATCTAGTTTCTGTCAAAGTGACAAAGCCTCGCCAGGGCTGTTCGCAGACACTGAAACTGCGAAAGAGCCATTCGAGTGGTGCTGAAGTCACGTGTGCCAACCCCAGGTCTGCACTGTCGGCCTCTGAATTCAGCATGTGAGTGAACGGGCTCTGAGTTTAAAATTTGTTCTCCAATATTTCACGGGTGTATTGCTAAAGACGATGAAATCACAGCTCTAAACAAACATCCTCCCGCGCTGCAGCCATCGGACACAGGGGCTCCAGTGTAGTAGTACTCAGGGGCGGTCCGTGACTTTAGGCGGACTTGGCTGCCTCCTAGGGCCCCGCCACCTGGGGCGCCCGATGATGATGTCAGTCCATTGACGGCCCTGCAGGCGGGGGCGCCAATTGCGCATTTTGCCTGGGGCGCCAGCTGCCGCAGCCAGCCTTAGACCACTCCTGGTAGCACTGCCTTGGGCCCCATCAGTCCTAAAGACAGCCCTGATCCAGGCTACCCCGCACCATTCCTCTATGCATCACGGTCACAGCGTCTGAGGCCAGAAGGAACCACCAGACCAGCTAAGCTGCCCTCCGCTCTCTCATGGCTGACTCGACACCGTCCAGTGACGCTGTGCCAAGCCCAATAATCTAGAGTAAAGGAGACCAAAGGGGGCTGCGCCCTAGGTGGAGAAATAGGAGAGCCCAAGGTGCATGGATGCCTGGCCATGGCTGGGAACACAGAGCTCTATGGGCCAGCGGAGGCATGCGGACCAGGCCTTCCAACGGGGTTTGGTATCAGGCTTATCAGTGATACAAATAAACGGGGAGCCGGCAGCCAAAAGTTTCCCAGCTGTTCCTGTGGAGCGGCAGGATTTTTTTTTTTATTGTTTGTTTTTTAAATTCTTCCTTGTAAAAAGGAAATTCTTGCCAAGCTAAACATGAGGAAGACTTGACCTCACCCCCTCCCCAAGTTCCCCCCACCCTCCCCCGCAGTGCAGCCGTCTCCTTCGCTTCTGGCCCCCTTTCTAAGTGGACAGGCCCCCCGGGAGCCCCAGGGTCTCCACCCACCTCCGTTCTGGGACGTCTGCGATTTCCACGTAAACAGGCTGATGGCTCCGTTTCCTGCAATTCACCGAGCCCTGCCCAGTGCCTGTTGCTGCAGACAGAACAGGAATCAAGATTGTTTAGATTCTGGCCTTGATGGGAAAGGGGAGTCATGCAAAACCGCCCAGCTCCAAGCCGCACAAACGGCTATCAGGCCCAGACAGCAGCGCCCTGGCTCCAGCCATAGGGCAGCCTCTCGGGGACCTTTCCTCCCCAAAATAACTCCGTTTGTTGTGGCTCCCCGAGGGGAAACAGTCTCAGCCCAGTGGGATGCAGGCGCTGCCTCTTGCCCAGGGGATCTGTAGCTTTTGTGGATAAAGCAGGCAGAGGCCCTTACAAGGGTGAGCAAAGTGGCTGGATCCATCTGCAGGCTGAGCGAACAGGGATCCCGAAGCCGCGCCCTCCAAATGCTGGCACAGAAGGGGCAGTGTTGCTGGGGGGAGAGAGAGGTGCTGCCCCGCAGCTGCACCCACATGTGGGCAGCACCCCCATCTGGGATCCAGTCCCCATGGCACAGATTCAGCACCAGTGTAAGCAGAAGCCACTGCTGGTGAAATCAAAGTGCCAGCACCACCTGGCCCTTCGTCTCAGACAGTTTTGGTCCTCCCCATCCTGGAATAGGCACTGCAGGCTCCCGGTGCACGTGTTTGGTTGGCAGCTGTCCTGGCAGGCTAAGCCCCATCCAGAGCTGGGCCTAGGGCTGTAGCCGAGAGACAAAGGAAGCTTCTGGGAAGTCGGCATTGGGCTGAGAGGTACCTCCAGAGAGCTGGGAAGGCTCTGTTTAGCACCATCCATTTCTTTTCTTTCCCTCCCCCTGTCTCATCGACTCTAAGGCCAGAAGGGACCATTCTGATCCTCTTAGGCCAGGTCCACACTACAGCCGAAGGTTGGCTTAAGGGATGCAACTCCAGCTATGTTGGCTCCTGCTATGTATTTTTTACGTATCTTAAGCCAAGTTTGGCGCCGTCCTT